TAGCCGCTTTGCCCGCCTCTCCTCGCTACTTACAACAAACCGTTCTTATACTCATCTCAAAATTTTTCTCAGAGCTTTGGGTTATTATCAGCTTCCATTTAAACTCCGGTTCGATGGCCGAATCGGCTGCCAAAAAAGCAAGCCACTGTTGAGGGGTTCTATGAGAAATTCGTGATATTATCGGCTCTCAGGAAATCACCCCATGGCTAAAATTGGTGGTATAAATGTTTAAGTGCTTAAAATAATCGTATTCAAGAAACTAAGGAATTAAACTATGGAGTCAATTTCTTTTTAATAATATAACGAATTTACTACCGGTGATTTAGCTATTATAGCCCCAGAATACTTTTAAAGCGCCTTTGCGTTCCAGAATCTCGACGGAATTTTTTTTTTTTTTTTTTTTGCTTAAACGATTCAAGAAACATTGTAGTTAAAAATATAAAGATTTTTCGATTTGGACGTATGAAAAATGTTTAACTCGTTCAGGCACACCGTGTATTGTATGGAGTACTGCTGTTATTCGACCGTTGTCTTCAGGTCAAAATTCTTACAAAGAAGCCCCTTGCAAGAGGCAAATTTTTTGTAATTTCTCCCAGTTTTTTCAGCGTTAGGTATATAAATGAATTGTTTGTCAAATTTTGAGGTCAATTATATTTAATTGTAATTTATACTTTCTTTTTTTCCCCTTCATTTTATTTTTCGTATCGAGGAGTCGAGGTTTTGTTGATTTCTTCGGATTTCGATTACTGTAACTTCTCTTCTATTCGGCCGATTTTTATGAATGAGGTCTCTTTTTATTTGTGTTTTAACGGAGAGTAAGGAAAAAATTGCTAAATACATGCGAAACAATTTTTTTTGAAAATTGGATGAATCCTAGCGTGACGGTGAAATGGTTAATGAAGCGTGAGTAATTGGGGTACGGGTATCGGCCGCGTTGGGACCCAAGGCCCATTGTTCTTCGTGACGCCGACGCAGTGATCAGGAGCGTGGGGACGAGAGGGCTTAGTGGACTCCTGTATGAGCCACGTTTAGCAAATGGTCTAATGAGTCTCGAGGCTCATCACAGATTGCACTTACCACTATCCTGGTGGCCCCGGCTATCAGAGCAAGGAGTACCAACTTTTGAAAAGGATAACAGTGTTGTGGAGATATGTCAAAGCAACGTTGTGAACAAAACGGAGTGAGTGAAATTCTCATTCAAGGAGTGCCGAACTGGTCAGCCATCCTCGAATCAGTTCGCTTGCTTCCGCTTATATATGCATATTTTAAATCAGCGCGCCCCATTCTAAGGTTTTTTTAAAAAAAACCAAGAAACGTAGACTCTTGGTATTCATTACACATAAACTAGCGAGCCCCAGAATGAGAAACAAATTTTAATCATTATTATTGACGGATTAGTAAACTTTTTACACGCTTTGGAAAATCTCAGAAGTTCGCGGTAGTCACTTTTCGGTAAGGAACTAGGGGACTCGGTTATTGTATCGAGGGGGGGGTCGAAACGATCGCAAAGGCGGTATACTACGTATACGCGCCAAAAATGAACGTTCGTGGGAATATAGAATCTTAAAATTTGCGGCAAAAAAACTCAAAGTTGATAAAAAAAAAAAAAAAAAAGTAACTGTTTTTTTAAACCAATTTCAAATTTTACTATGATACACAATTTCAAAATTTTCTCACTGAAATGAATGAACTCGAATTTCATCGATGTTTCAAGATCATCCTGAGTTTGACAGTAACCAGAACCCGGTCAAAATTGCCACCTTGTCGAAGTGGTTTTGATTAAATTGTAAATTACCGAATACCCTCTAAAGTACAACCCCAGGCTGCAAGCACTACGGGGAGAAGGATTATCATTCCGAAGGAAATCACTTTTGAATAAATCAATTTGCACGGGAATCAATGGAGGCTCTTATGACCTTTCACTATCAGGAGCAGCTACCTTCGAGGCGAGACTCATGTTTAGAAAACGGGGTGAGTTGTAAGATCCTTACAAGGGGTAACTGATTAAGCCAGGAGTCTCGTTCAGCTCGCTAATTGATCTTGCAATTAATTATTGCCGTTTACATTTAATTAAGTACCTCAGCTTGATTTATAGAAAAAAGAGAGGAAAAATTCTCAGAGCAGAAAACCCCTCCACTCACCCTCTTCAAATCCAGCTCAGACACCAATGAAATTAATCGCACGCAAATGGTGCGTTATGCTCTCAATTTGTGAGTTTGACGCCTCAGGTGGTATGTTTGAGGACTTATGATTCAAAGTACTTACAGACTGTGCGAATATATTGCTTAAAAAGAACATAGCCTCAAATATATAGATATCCAAAACATGAAAATGCAATTCAAGTACATACTTACTTTTGTCATCATCGACGGAATGCAAGGATTGTATAGGTCGTATACCTCGAGATGCCATTTTTCCATGCAGAGAGGTTTTTTCAAACCCATCCTTTGATTTGAACTTACGTCTAAATAATGTTTTCAGGCACGCCTCAGTAATGTGTAGCTGCTTTAATTAATTTTTGTCTCTCCCCTCTCCCCTACCTCCTCTTACCCCTCACTCATCCCTCTTTTCCCCGTCTTTCTTACCTTAATTAATTTTATCTTTCTTTTACCTTTTTAAACTCAATTAAAGTTTATCGTAAAACGGCAAAATAAAGAGAAACAAAAATGAAGGGAAAAAGAAATGAAACATATATTCTGAGTTAAATTCCTATTTTGACTTCCACTCGACTGTCAATAAGAGAATGCATGACATCAGGTACTCAAAAGAATCAATTGAGCGCATTGTCTATTATTCAATTTTTATTTACATTTTGGACACTTAATCATGAAATAAACAACAGAAAAAAGTAACAGAGACAAATTAAAAAAACAGTAAAAGATATGCACCGTCGCAAGAATAAATCGAAAGGAGAAATTACAAAAAACAAAAACGACTGCATGATGTATAATCAACACAATGAAAATCCAAAGTATAAGAGCTTCATTCCATTCAATACTTACCTTCATAATTTTTTGTAATTTGCAGTCCTTAAAATTGATTAATTTATTTATTTATCATCATGAAAGAAAGACAAATCACAGAGAGTTTAAAGAGAGTTTTGGTAACTTTGTGATTAAAATTTAAAAAGGGTCAAATAACGCATTTTTTAACATTTAAATGCGATCAACATTAAATACTAATAAATGATGTGCGCGTGCATGTCTGGTAGATATTAGACGACACGCGGAACATGGAGAAAAAAGAAAAATATACAATATTTTTTTACACTGGTCATTTTTTTAGGTTTGTTATAGATATTATGATTTTGCTTTTGCTTATGAGTCTCACGACTAGGTAGGAACCTAATATGAACTTTTTTAATTCTATCATTTTCACAAGCGTCTTGTAACGTTCGTACCTATGAAAATTTACAAAGGATAAAGGTGTGCTGTTTTGAATCTCAGGAGCAAAATGCTAAGTGGTTTGGTCAACTATTATCAAAAGAATATTCATTCTCAATAACGTAACGCGAAGTATTCATTTCGATTAAATTGACGGAAAATTCAGACCTTTGCAACCGCTCAGTGGCACGGTTCCGCCAGTCACGGAGTCGTGTTTTGCTGGTGAAAATCCACCACGGATCTCTGACTTTATGAGAATTACAGATTGATGGGGAGAACTATGGAACCATATATCTCGACGGCTGATGTTGCAAATTTCTTGTTGTTTATTTTCCTTTTTTGAGGATTGACTGAGGATTGTTATCGCACAAAGTTTCATTTTGAAAGTTTCTTTACCATTTCAAAGATATTTCTGAAATTCTACACAATAAGATCCAGTAATAAATGGCCTTATTTATGCTAAAAGGAACTATGTGCATAGGTTTTGCGTGCGACATAGTTCCTTTTAGCATAAATACGTCCAAATATTCTTTTGAAAAAATAAAGCAAGGGTGGATAATCTTAAACATGGCTATCGAGATAACTGTCTCCGTAGTTTTGCGATTGATTTACAACTCAAAAATCCCAGCTGCATGCAAGCTTATCGATGGCTAAGGAAGAATACCGCATATCTGCAAACTGACAATTTTGAAGGACGAAGAGAAAACTTAGCTATTTTTGTAATTTTAAGGTTAGATTTGCAATTTTTCATACATTACAGCGTCATTGAAACGCTCCCCCACAGAATAGGAAAACAAACTGAAATCATCAACTTCCGTATTTTAAACTGTAGAATGCGGTAAAGTTGCCTATTCATTTTCGCTAAAATGGATACTTTGCAGGTGTCTGAAATTTTGTAAATTTCATCTTTAAAATGATACTGCTAGGAAAACTGAGCACGAGGATATCCTTGGTTTCTATAAATTAGACTATACTTGAACAATTATTGGAGGAAATATGACAAAATAACCTTATCTGCTAAAATACAGGTGTTCAAATGGGAAATGGCGCCAGATGACGTCATGAGGCGGCACTTTTCTCATTTTTAAATCTATTTTTCTCCAATTGCCCATGTCAGAAAAAAATTATGAAAAATACTGCGAACTCAGGTCACTAAGCAGTCTCGGATGAAGCAATACCGTTTTTTCGTGCAAATTCTCCAGTTAAGTGGTATTATTCCGTTGCCATCGTCACACAATTTTACAGAACGACCTAGATTTTAGTATAGATAATAAAAATAATATCCAACAAAAAAAGACACAACAAAAATAGCGAAAGATAAAAGAAAAATATCGTTGCAATAGTTGGGGGACGGCGACAGGCCGCCGTCCCAGTCGTCGGTCCCGGCCTCGGGATGGCAGAGCTCCTCTTGGCTTTCGACGCAGTCGGCCAGCGGGACTTCCGCTTCGTCGATTTCGTGCACTTCCACGTCATAGCGAAACTTCACCCTGTCCAAACCGGAAATGGACTGAGGCTTTTCCTCGCCCGACCCCGGCTCGCTCACCGGAAGCACGATCGATTCCCGACGCCAGAACAGTTTCCCGGAGGCCCGCCGATCCAGAATCCATTTAGGCGCGATTTTCGTCAACGTCGACTCTCCGGCCATTTTCCCAGCCAACTTCCTGTGTCCTCTTTCCGCTCTCCCAGCCACTTGCTCTCACGATCCGACCGCTTTGCTTTTTTTCAGTAGTACCCTTTCGAATGACTCAAACCCGGTATTGATTGGAAATTTAATGGTAAAAATAATAAGTTAAAAATTAAAAAGAAGTCTGCAAAGGTTACTGTAAGTTGCCTTCTTTCCGAATCAATATTGTGAATAGATGCTTATAAATTAAAAATTAAAAAATAGTCTGCAAAGGTAACTGTAAGTTGCCTTTTTCCGAATCAATATTGTGAATAAATGCTTATAAATTAAAAATTAAAATACAGTCTGTAAAGGAAACTGTAAGTTGCCTTTTTTCGAATCGATATTGTGAATGGATGCTTTAAATACCAATACGCATCCTAGTCGACAATTTCAAACATTTATATTATCAGTGATATAAATATACTTTAAAGGACTTTAAAAACATATCTAATCCTCTTCAGGTATATTGATTACATAAATTTGACGAATTTAGCTTTGAAACAAGTGAAATACTAATAAAGAAACTGATTAAAAATTTGGCGTGTTTGCATATAGAAATTCAGTTTTAAAACTGTGACTCCTTTTTCCTTTTATAACTATTAAGTAGGAGGTATGTTGAAATTATTTCATTCATTTACTTTTGTTGAAGGTAAAATTTTCTTCAGGACCAGAATTTTAAACTTCCGTTTAACTTTTCTAAAAAGAAGGAGCTAATTGATTTCACAGGATAACGTTTTGTGTAAATTTATTAAAAGAGAGTTGTAAGTAACACCGCGCCAAAAAAGGATTACAGGATCAAGGTTTATATAAATATTGCCGTTTTATTTGCGTTTCTCCCTCTAAAAGTAGATTGTTAAGTATGGAATCGGTTTGCCTTTGATATAATAAGGAGCGAGAAAGTTTCACTTATACAGAGAAAAATACTTGGGGTCATAGTTACAAAAGAAAACTTTTACGAATCATAAACATTTGTAACCGACTTGACATAGTTTACTTGTTTAATTTTATGGGCACGAAAGGTCCCTCAGAAAAATACAAAACTTCTTAGTCCGGATCAGAAAGAGACTGAAAAGTTTGATGCATAAAACATTCTAGGCTTTGATATCTCCAAGTATACTTTCAACGAGAGAAAAATATAAAAAGTTCGGGAGGAGGGATTCAGGTGCAACTCAACACGGGTGCCGCCAAATTTTTTAAAGGAGCAGGTCCAATCTGTCTTTCTGCAATGACGTGAAACTTTCGGCCACTTTCTTTACGAGTAGTCTGTCAACAATGGACAACCCTCCCTCTCACTTCACAATCTTGTAATGCATATTAAAGCAACAGCAAACCTTTTGAATTACAGAGCTAGTTTCAGTCCATAAATCCCGGCAAAGACGTGAAGAACTTGAAAAAAGTTTTTATACGACTCGAAACTTGTGAAAAAGGCGGCTTACTGTCAGCCTACGCCGCGCCCTCGAAACTACAGAGATCTGCTTTCAGAATTCCTTAATGTAATTTTAAAGATGAATTACGTCGCAATAAATTAAATTCCTTTAATTTTGATTTACCCGGAAAATTTCAAACTCTCCGAAAGTTAATTATTTCTTTTTTTCTCAACGCGTTTACTTTCTCACCGGGCAATGTAACTGGGAAGGGATGCGTTTGACTCTCACTCCAAGGGACGGCCAGTTAAATTTCAAGGGTTATAAAAAGGGTTTTACACTGTCCTGACTCTACTGGAGAGATACAAAACCCTGCTGTATATTACCTTAATTTATAACTTTGTAAGAGTCTTAATAAATCGACCTCGCGCGCGGTTTCTGTGCTTTCTCCTCCAAGGTCGATGGATTTATATTACAGGAGAGACCTTAATTAAACGCTCAAGAACCAGCATTGAAACTCGCTGCATGACGGTGGGCAAGGAAAGTCATGGTATAATTTAAGTTATCAACACTAAAATATTTGGGAAACTTCTTTGTCGTTCTTGAAAGGGTTCGCTCATTGAATTCTTCCTTCTTTTTTGTAAGAATTTTTAAATTGATCGTAACCACTTAGACATCTAAAATTTATTTTTTAATGACGCATTAAAAATCTACTTGGATTTCAGTCGATCCTTATTAGTTCTAGGAAATTTATGAAAAACATAAAAAAATTCATGCCAAAATACGTTGATTATCAGGAAAAGTCATGTGATGTTTCAGGCTAACTCATTCTTTGACTTTAGCGGGAAGCAAGGATTCCAGACGTTGAGTGCAGCTTCTTTCGTGAGTACGGCAGAAATAAGTACACGTCCAGCATGCATGACAATAATTAGCTGCTACTCTTGAGCTGTACCATTTCTACTCAAGCAACTTGGTCCTAAAACAGTAAAAAATAAAAACTTATGTTTCGTTCCTCTAAAATACACACACAAAGAAACGGATCAACAAGAATACCGCAAACTTTTTACATGCACAGGCAATACTTAAAACGACGCTGGTGAAACCCGGGTGCCGTGAGTTTCGGTTGCAGCATCTCAAAAATTACGCCCACTCGTTTTTGAATGACCATATAAAATGTGTGATAAAAAGCATGCGTGTGGGATCAAACAACGAAGAAGCAAACACAAAACAAATTTAAAAAACATAAATCTGAAAAAAATTTCTGGTGTACGTCCTTAATATTCTCAATTTTATTATGTTCAAACGGTCTCAGGAAGGATGCGCTCCACCTGAGAGCAACGTTCCTTCCACATTTCCACTCCAAGGAATGCTTGCATTAGATCACAGTCAAATTATTAAATATTATTATTATATTAATATGTAGTATATTATTAGTCAAATAAAAATATAATTATTATATTATTACTTTATTATTATATATTGTTTTCAATCTATTTTCAACTGTAAATTAACTGAAAATCTGTTCTTTTACCTTCATCTCTCGCACGCAATAAACTGATTATTTTGACTTTGTAGAGATAAGGTAGGTATCCTAATGGGCCTGTTGCAAACTTTTGCTAGAGCAAAACTAAGAGTTGTTCCTTACAGATAATGCTTCAAAAATCACGATGAGCGCATCGGCAAAGTCTGAAATGCACTCATAACTTCACAATCTGCCCAAGAAATTTGCGGTTTTTTGAGCTTCCCGCTTCGAAAACGATACTGCGGTACAGGTGAACATTTTGTTAAAGGAGTCGTTCCATTGGCGGCAATACTCATCATGGCCGACGCCAGTCCGCCGAAACACCTGTGATGGGACGAGATAACATCTGAACAGGATTAAACCAGATAACAATCGGCGTGTTTACGTTTATATTTTCCTCGCCCGCCTTAATTGATCTTGAACTCTCCTCGAATTACTCGCGGAACTGCGCAAGCGTCGGCCATGATGAATATTGCCGACGATGGGACGACTCCTCTAACAAAATGTTCACCTGTGCAGTAGTATCGTTTTTGAAGCGGGAAGCTCAAAATAACGCAAATTTCTTACGCAGATTGTGAATTTATGAGTGCATTTCAGACTTTGCCGATGCGCTCATCGTGATTTTTGAGGCATCATCTATAGGAAACAACTCTTCATTCTGCTCTAGCAAAAGTTTGCAACAGGCCCATTGTGAGAGGTCTAGTATCATCAAAAATTTCATAGAATACATATATGGACCACGCACCAGCGTTTCCGCCTTGCGTCTATATATTCCTTTATCCAATTATTTACCCCTCTCCGATGGATTTTTAATTTAAGCTCGACACATTAAAGCAGGAAGGGAAAAAGCCCTCGCATTTACATAGCCTAACGGCCGACAGTCCTCAGTGGCGATGGAATGAAAGCGGTATCAATGAATCCTGAAAACAACTTAAATTAAAAATTCCGAGGGATTTGTACCCTCCCCTAGGCTCCTCCTCTATTTGCGTGAATCACGATCAAATAACCCAGACTTTATTAGGTTTTTCCTCCCTTTTTGCTCCTAGAAAACGTTTCCTTATTACATTATATCGCCAAAGCGTATATCACCCTTTTGACCGGGAGTAACTGGATATGACTAAATGACCTGAGCCTTTGTTTTAAATAATTTGTCAGCCTCTTAAGAAAAAATCCATATTTTCAAAAACGTAGAGATCTTTTAGAGTGAAATGAGTCACAAAGCATTTGGTGTATGTGTGCAGACTTTTCTTTTTCCGTTGCACACCCGTCTCTCAAGAGTCAAGAGTTCAAAATCTATGCTCACCAAAACAGCGTGACATAATTTGTATATGGTCCCTCAGAGGGCAGAATTTTCAAACGGCGAAATTAATTAAGATGGGCGTTTTTCTAATTCAGTCATTGTGACACACTGCGCATGCGTTGTTACATGGAAACCAAAAAACGTGAACTCAGTGACTCTTGACTTCTTTGGGCGGACTGCAACCAATTGATAAAAGGAATAAAATAATCAAAACGCCTATTCCGTCAAATATATATAGCTCTGACATTTGGCTGCGAAGTATAAACATTCATTTTCCGCCAGCATCATATTTCCCACCTATCCCGCATAATGACAAATTACAAGTACATGCCGTTGATGAAAAATGCCACGTATGTGACACCATCAAACGCATTAATTTCAATTTAAAGTCCTGTTCCGAGGCTCAAATGCCGAGACAGGGAAGTTTGAAAGGTTTTTATCGGTCCATAACGGCTGATTAATATAATTTATGCACGTTTTTTTTTGGGACAGCGGTGTATCATTTCGGTTATCATATGCATTTCATCTCATTAACAACAAGTTTAGCATGTCCTTTAGAGGTAAATGATTATTTATAAAATAATAATTATATGCTTATGAGATTGAACATTACGTATCTAAAGTAAAGGTCGTCCTGAAGAAAGCATAATCTGAAGGCAAAAAAAAAAAAAATGTAAAATATAGAGCACTGAGTCGATACATTGACAAGTAAGTTTAAATGTCCTTCAAATCTCTCAATACATATACCAGACAGTAACTGAATGGAATAATAGTACTGGATCCATACAATTCCGCAGAGAACCCAGCACTATTATTTCATCATGTTACTTTTAGTATTTGGGCTACATTTTCACAAAAAAAAAGAAAAAAAAATGAACCAGACAGCTCATTTCCGTTTAGTGACGCACCATGTCTCCTCGGTTTTTCATGCTACGTCTGAACAAACAATTAAAATGAAGTTGGAGTCTGCCTGTTTTCTTATAATTACATTCGTCTCGCAGGTGTATTCCCACGAACAAAACGAGAAAGGAAATTTCCAAGCTTCCCTTCATCGGTAAAGTTGACTTAATTCTTCTCGAGTTTAGGGGGTGGGACTGCTCCGCCAACTACAGAATCAACAAGTCCGTCCAATCAAAAATAAACTTTCCCAAAAGTTTCGTTCCGTCGCAATTAAAAGACCGAAGGAGCACAGAACATAAAATCAGGAATAATCGATGAAACTTCCTCGTAACTTTGGCATTCTCATCATGAACGCTTCAAAAAATTCAATTAAAACTAAATTTCAACGCCGGGAAGAGCATCCAAGGATAAAATATTAAATTTGAATGAATGCGAAACCGCCTTCATAGTGGATTTGGGCGCAGCGAGCAAAAAGTTCATTAGAATTCTTGAATGCTCTTTTCTAATTTATTATATCCTAAACTCTTAAATACACTTTTTCCTCGGCTGCGCCATTTTCCTGACAGCCGCAGACTTTTCAGCCGGGAGTCTATATTTTAAAAGTAATTCAATTTGTGAGCAGGGCTCTAACAGCATGCAGAACATCAATGCGCACTACTCTGGCTAATGAATGTAGTACTTTATACAGAGAACTTTTAATCCTATTAAGCGCATAAAAACTGCAGCTCTGCGTCTCGCCGGATAAGCTCTCGGCGTTCTGCCCTGAAATGAGAAAAGTATCAAGAGATTCCCACGAATTTTACCGACAACAATGCGAGAATCTCATCTCTTCATACGGCACAGCTTTCAGTCAGTATTACCCGTGAAAGCAGGCGCGAGGCCTGAATGATCGATTATCGATATCTTCCTCGTTTGAAGGTGTTGTTCATCTGACAACATTGTCAGTGTCAGCTGATAAAATGTATATTTTCACATAAGAGGTTAATAAAAGTTTTCAGTCAGTCTTTGACATCTACCGAGAATTGTTTTGGTATTTATTCACAATTACTACGTAATTATATATTTTTCTTATTAAAAACTAAGAAAAACATGGTGACCCCGACGTGATCTTCATCTGCGCAATTTAGAAGACGTCAACGAAAATTAAAAAATTATCACAAAAGTGGAATATATATACGGCCGAATTGAAAAGATAATTATCATCTTGTGGTTGAGACATGCAGTGATCGCTCGATCTCCGTGTCAATATCAAGTATGTGCAGGGATGGATTGATCTCCACATACCTGAACTATTAAAAATCGTGCAGTAATCGACCGATTTCCACGACTCAGTTGGGCAATATCAAGCGGTAATTCGGCCTAACAATGGAAAAAGCAAAAAATAAAAAAATAAAAATAAAGTCAGCCTTTTGGCAACAAAACTTCATCTTAACTATCAGCTGTCAAACCTTGAGAACTTCGTAGCACAAGAAAACGTTAAGTAACATGACGAACTTAAACATTCGTTATGAGGAAGCCAACCAGATCTTTACCCAATTTTCCCAAGCAAATTTTGAACTTCATATGATCGAACCAGATGTTAATCCAAATGAGTTGAGTGAATTTGAAACAAGATTCTACGAAACAATGATAAAAGTCTGAAGACACTAATGGAAGAAAAGAGAGAAAAAACTGACAAAAATACAAAAAATGATGCTTCTAACAACAAAAAAAAAAAAACCAAATTAAAAACTCTAGAGGCTTTTCTGGAGGATATGAAGAGTATGGCAGAGCTTCAAGTCATTTTTCAACAATTGCGAAATTCTTTCATCTCAAACGTGCATTAAGAGGGCAAGCCGGACTTAATCGAACACCTAAGCCCACCGAATAGAATTATGACATAGTATGAACTCGTCCAGAAACTCCTGAAAATGGATGATATTATAACCTGTTATCCTGTCCACCTTTCCGAAAATGGTATGAAAAACTACTATTAAAATTATTTCAGTTTTATATGTTTTATAGTCAAATCAGGTATAACGTCGAAAGACAGTCGTCTCAAAAAGAAAGCTTGACTCCAATTTACAACCTGAGTGAGAAAAAGAAAAAAGTATAAATTTGAGTAAGAAGAAATAACCTAAATGCGAAAAAAGAGTATAAATCTGAATGAGAAGAAAAAGTATGACCTAAGTGTGAGCAGAAGATGTTAATGAGGTTATGATCAGAAACTGAGTCTTGTATGAGTTTTAAAATCGAGCATAATGGAGAAATGAAG